TTCAATTATGGTTTTTTGGTGGTGGTGGACGATGATGTCATTAGAAGTCACAAGTGATTGTTGTAGATGAAGAGGGAGAGCGATGACGAGAGGACGACGTAGATGTTGATATTCTGTGTCAGTGTCGCTCGATAATTGTGTCAATTGTGACATAGATGCAGAGTGACGAAAGGATCACATTTGCGTCGACAGCAACACAAATGCAGAACAACGAAAGGGTCACTCAACATTTTCATTGACACCGATGTCGAGCGATATCGCTCTACATCGATGTTGACAACGATGTGAGGAAGATGATATCACTTTGTATCTACGTTGGCATCACTTGACAATTACATTAGTGTCAACGTAGATGCAAAGCGACGAAAGGTTCGCTTAACATTTGTATCGATGTCGACACAAATGTTGAACATCGACATCTACGTCATCCTTTTTCTTTTCTTTCTTTGTCTTATCTCTCGTTATCGTTTTTTCTACTCATTCACAATAGGCACCCGCGCCCCAGTCGTCATCTATCACTACAAAAAAATATAATCGAAATGTTAAAATTATTTTTTTATTTATTATTTTTTATAGGTAAATCGATGATGATGGGATAAATAGACTCAAATATTTTATTTTTATAATTATAAAATTTTAATATAAAATTTTTAAATTCGGACGTTACTATGGGGTAATAATACTTTTTAATTAGCCCAAGTTCTTAACCGTACGGACCGCCGTGCCCTCGCTACTGCGGCGGCGGGATGGGAAAAGGCTGGTTCCTATGGCGGAGATGGGCAAGGGCTGCTTCGATGATATCGACGCAGGAGTGGATCCTCCCCCCAGCTGTTGCCCGTCTCCGCCCTCCGTCTTCTCTTTGCCTGCGACCCAAGAAGAAGAGAGGAAACCCTAAAAAAAGGGGTCTCCGACCCCCATCTTCTCTTCGCCTGCGACCCAAGAAGAAGAGTGGAAACCCTAAAAAAAGGGCGGTTTTACCTTCTCCTCCTCGTCCTCCTCCTCCTCTCTTCTTTCTCCTGCACGTCGCCGCTGCTCTCATTAAGCATCTTCTGATCCGAGGAATTAATTTAAGGTAAAAAAAAAATCTCTGTATTGGTGGGTTAAAAGTTGGGTTTAATTTGATCCTTAAAGAGCTCTTATAATTAGAATTCTCAGCGATGACAACAACAAATCATAATATCTCTACAAGATATTATATCTAGTTAAATGGTAGGTCAAAAACCTTGTGATTAATATATAATGCAAAATTATATATTTTTTTTCATAAGCCTTGTGAATTTTCTATTTACTGTTTTCTAAGTCTGTGTCTTATTGTTGATTCTTCTGATTGATTGTTCTTTTGGTATTAATAGTTTGCATTTGCAAGGAATCACACTGCCAAATGTGGTGATGTAAATCTTAGCAGTTGCTAATGGATATCATTGACTTGACTGAACTTCCAATAAAAATCTAGATATTTAATGCCAAAAGTTTTGATTGAGTTCCAAAGGTGCAGTAGCTTTTTCTCTTTTCATGAGATGCCAATAGTTGAAAGCTGCAGCTCCCATCATGAATCCTGTTCTTCACCCACTGCAAGGAATATATGTATTTTTTTCTTCTCCCTTTCCTGAGATGGCACTGCATGGAATAAAGCCAGTAAAGATGACCAAAGGAATAAATCATAAAGGAATATATCATAAACCCACTGCAAGGAATATATGTACCTTGTGAATGGAACCCAAAAAAAATGCAGATGGGCTTTTAGTTGACAATTCTACAAAGTTTATTGTAAATATATCCCTTCATTCTGATCTGCTTTTTCTTAAACCATATTGCCAAACAATTATTTTTTTACCAGCCAAGCTACTTAGCACATTCGTTATCGGATCGAGTTTAGAATCCTGAACTAATATTCTCAATTATTCTAGTCTCTCAAATCCTAAATCTCTCAGTGCCTTTCTTGATAAGACTAGGTATCTATATTATAAGGACTACAGTCTAACTTGATTTGATGGGAATAATTTTACTGAAAATCTTAAACCAACCCTTTATCTAAATACAAAGTTTACTTTAATTTCCAACATAATGATGCTGATATCTCTGTATATTGACAGTTCTTTGAGGGAGGTCGGAAACACTGGGTTGGAACCTGAAAGCACTTGCATGACAGATGGAAGATGAAGTCACAAGAACAGCCACAAGTAAGAATGCATGCCTTGTGGTCATCTTCTCACATTATGATGTTGTCTCTCGCTCTCTGTTCCGGCTGACCCACCTGCCACTCTGCTTCTTCTCAAGCTTCTTGTTTGATTCTGCTTTCTCACACCTGAGATGCTCTCTGTTACTCCTGTTCACAGTGGCTTTTCTCCATGCGACCTACCGCAATAGCTTCAATTGCTTGGGCTGTGTGAATGACTTGTCAACTCCCAACCTTGATCAGGCTTCCATTTGAAACAGGATAGCCTCTTTTCATGCCATTGTAATCTGCTCAACCTGGTGGAGACTTCAACCTTGTTGCATGCTGCTGGCTGCAGTATCAGACAGTCAGAACGACATTGATCACCAGGGTAAGTGCTATCCAGGGAAACATGTAAGCAGTAGTGCTTCAATAAAGGTTAAAGTGGCTCACTACCTTCAAAGGGTGTGTAGTAGTGGCATCAATTTGATAGTGTTCATCTATCTCTTTCTTTTCTCTCTCTCTCTCTTGCTCTCTCACTCTCTACTTTTTCTTGAAGAACTGGTCACTATGAGTGTGTGACAGAATTCTAAAGTCTAAATTTGATCTTTATGCTTTGCAGAACTCCATTTGCATATATCTACACCTCAGGCAGGGAACATATGAAAAGATTTGTGTACTTCATAAAGGCTTTATATCGGCACGTATGAAGCACAGCAGCAGTGTTTCTGCAAACCCTCAACACTCCAGAATCATTATTTTGCTCACTCAGAAGCAATCATGATCTGGAACGGGCTTTGTGGTTTTCATAATGGGCTGATTCATGGAGAGATCAGATAGATTAACAAGCCTATTTAACTTGATCTTGGATTCAGTTTGTAAGGGGCAGTTCCTCCTGAACCAGCTCCAACAGAACTGGAACATCTGCAGTTTGATTCAGAAAAGGTCAACAAGTACCACACTACTAGGTTAATGCATGAGCGGTAGCTGTATTCTGCATCTTGTTCAGTCACTTCTGAGATCATGCGAGTCGTAGTAATTATGATTACAAAGATTGATTTGCCAACATCGGCAAATTGATGATTGGGAAAGACCATAAGAGGCATCAGAAATGGGTTTTTATCAGACCCAGCAGGTGTGGATTCTAGGGAAGAATCCATCAGCCCATGTGTGCCACTGAAGTATAACATCTCTTCTCATTAACCACAAACTTTTATCCATGACAAAAGGCAAAAGATTCGATTCTGATCTTTTGGAGCTGACAATGATCCTTGATATGGGGCATGGTAGTGACTACTGAGCTTTAATGAACAATTGGAGCATCAGCCGTGGATCATATGGCATCACTTGTGGCTGACAGTTCTCTTGGAGATCACTTGGCACAACCCCTTCAACAAGAGGAATCATTCAGCATTATCCACAGTCCAAACTATCAATTCTATGCAAAGGTTCTGGGCTAAGACAAGATAAGATAGAACAAGAAAGCATTAATGTTGCATGAGATAGCAATGCACAAAGAATTGTAATGATCTCCCAAGCACTAGTATTCTTTTCCTTGTTGGTCGAAGATGATGTGAAATTTGATCCTCAGAGTTGTCAGCTCGGCATACAAATGATCAATCAATGCTCTAAGTATGTTGCATGATTGTCGAATCGTAGAAGACACTGCCAAATTCCTTGGGCCAGCCAAGAACATAACACTTCAAAGAGCACTAGCTTTTTTTCCTGCTCTCTTGCAGCAAGTTAAGCACTGATCAAAAGGCAGGACCACAAGTTTAAGCCACCATGGAACTTAGTCATGTAATAGAGTAAGGGGAAAGATGGATGATACTTTGGCTTTTGTTAAAGAGCATGCCGAGAATATTGCTGATGAAAATATTCCAATTTTATCTTTGGTTTTAAAGGGAGAAAAACCAAAGACGCGTAAGGAATACATGGCTGGCATTGCCAGTCTATGCAAATCAACCAATCCTTCTCAATTGATGCATATTTTTCCACTGTCAATTTGAACATCAGCACAGATATGCATGATCAGTGCCCTATTAGGCTTGAATGTGTGAAACAGAGAAAAAAATGTGGTTTTCCGAGGTCAAATTGGATCAATTCTATGAACTCAATTCCATAAAGTTAGCTGCAGATAATTCAAAGAAAGAAAGAAAGCGACTTGATGGCTTACAAACCTCTTTAGGTACATATGCTTTTCTCTCTCTTTGTTTGAAGTGTTCAAACTCACACTTATCCGTAGGAATCTGACCAAGAAGCTAGCTCACTGATCATCTATCTTTGCTAGATAACTTGGTTTTAGAAATGAGTGGAAGAATCAGCATCCAGTTGACTTGTGCATCAAGAGGCAGGGTCTTGTGGATGTCGTTGCGATCACATTTTTATATCATTCTAAACTATTTGTCAAAACTAGTTCAACCCAATAATATCATTCAAAGCTACATATTATAGTTCCTTTTTTTGTGCATGACTAACGTCTTATGAGACCTTCTTGAGCACTTACCAGGTGAGTTCCTGCCGACAGATGGGTGCATGATTGCAGAACAAATTGATCCTTATCTCTCCATACATGGGATTGCCAAGGAGCCTAACAAGTTCTTGGAGAAGAAGCTGGTTTGATTTGCCAGAGTCATGTGATTATTCTGGGTTAATTCTTCAACTATCTACATCAAAGTACCTATCAACAACCTAAGTTTGCACTCTGGTCAGAGACGAAAAGTGTCATCTAAAGTGGAACAGTATCTGAACACACCCACAGCTCACTGCCTGCGCACTCCATAGTTCAACTCTCCCATAGAGAGCTACCAGATCTTTCCAATCTTAAACCTAGTAAATGTTTTAGTGATGCGAAGGAGATGCACACTTGACATTATTGAGGTCCACTCATTGAGGCATGAATAGCCACATCCACTAAGATAGTGAAGTACACCATGAGGGATATGGAATGAGACATCTCCAATAAAGGCAGAGGGGCGAAACTTGAGATCTTTCTGTCAGCTTTTCCAGCAATCTGATGTCATTCCACCACCAGGCTCAAGTTGCTGAAGGATTTCCCGCTAGTCAATCTGGAAAATATTAACTGATCTGAATTTGGGCATAGCAGAACAAACATTGTTGTTCTTACAGCTGATGTTTTCATCTAGAATTCTTTTCTTTCTTTGAGTGGATGCCAAGTCTGTTCAGTTTGTTCACATGATTGGTCATAGTGTTAGCTTTGCATCATTCTCACATTGTTTTAGCTCAACCAGTAGGGACAGCAAGAGATCATCCAACCAAAGATATGACCTTTATAAAGCAGATGCTCTGAATATTGGAATGAGTAGAATTGCATCACATGTAGGAAGGCAACATAACCAGTTTCCATGATACAGAATCCATGAGACATCATGTCAGATGGACAATGTCCTAAAGGCACTGGACTGTCCAAGGCACAGGAGAAAGTGATACCACAATGGATTGGCTAGCTGAGAAAAGGAATATTAACCATCTTGGGCATAGCCATGTCAAGTACAAAGGAGTGTGGAAATGTGTCAACTTGCATATTGATTGAGATGATGAATTTGTTTACCTTGTCATGCAAGTTGGGCAACTGAACAGCCATGTTTCTTCAAGCTTTACACCAAATGGTGGATGGATCAATCTAAGACAGACACAACATGTGAATCCAAGTTTACCACAATGCATGAGCAAGCAAATAATGAAAAGAGTTGCTTTAGATGGAGATCAATCAAATGTAACATCGAGCCATTTCCTGACAGCAAAGTTCTTTGAGACTAATGATTACCAGGCCACCAATTAATCATGAAACCAGATCACCAACTGCTATGTTCATAAACAGCTTTGCAAAAGATAAATGCAGAGACAGAAATCATGTTGCATCTTCCCCACCAAAACTTTTTACTTGCAGCAAAAACCAGAGCACCTGTGCATGATGAGTGATGCATTCATTCCCTGGAATAAAAATAGGCACCCTTTTCTCAGACCTTTTGCCAAAGGCTAAAGGCTAGTTGTTCCAAGTAGAATTTTTAATAGGATCATCATCAGCATCATTATAGTGGGATTCCATTAACCTTTTCCACTTTCCCAAAGATAACTTAGTTTAGGCATCAAACTAAGAGCGAGCATAGTTCCCCCAAGACCATCTCCATCTAACAAAGTGGTTCATGCTAGTGGCCATCCTTCAAAGATAACTTAATGTATATAGGTGGTACTCTTAAGCAAACCAGATCTTGTTCATGGTACTGCCAACACTCTCTCTGCAAGAAAGATGATGCTTGGTGGTTCTTATTTGATTGCTTCAAAGAAGACTATGCTAGCTACAAATCCATAACATCATGCCAAAACTTTTTGACATTGGGGTGACTTGGCCCTGGGAGTTTATCTGCAAAGAGGTGCATGGCTGTGAATCTGGCCAGTGCAGCATTGCAAATGTGTGATTAAGCACTTGGCTTGGGGTAAACAATTGTCTTATTGATATCATCACCTTCCATAACTTTAAACTAATCTATGCACTGTACATTCACAGCATGCATTTGTCCTGCCTGCCTTACTAACATACATCTCATCTGCATCCGGTTTCTTTGTTCAACAAAAAAGTATTTATTTATTGAAATTGCTCGATCTAGTGGTGGATTTTTTAACAAAATACTATTCCTTAATGGTGAAGAAATCACCCAGTTGAAGCAGATGAAAATCAGCATATTATTATCTCTAGATTGATTTTATTTTTTGTTTCATGTGATTCTTTTGATAGAAACCAGCAGTAGTATCTTATTATCTGAATTTTTTTTTTTTTGTTCCATGTAAGTCTTTTGAAATAATGATTGGAGCTCTCTAGTTAAGAGAATCTGTGTACCTTTTTGTTGCAGAAAACAAAGCTTTAGCAGTCAGTAATCCATGCACAGGGAATGAATCCTGAACCGGTTGCTTTCATCTTCTCATAACCCTCCTCCTGTATTATGTATGCAACATGTCTTGGTGAATCGAATTGCAGGATAAACAACTGCTCGAAGCATATCGAGATTGGTTCCAACAAATAAGAATAATAATAATAAGCTTACCTTTCCGTGAAGAGCTGGTTTGCTAATCTTCTCTCAGCATTGAAATCACCATCATCTAATCGCTGCCCTTTGTGTTCCTGAACGAGCATCAAATTCCAGAAAGAATTATGGCTTGCCTTCAAAGAAAAAGAAGAAGAAGAACAACAACAAAAAAGCCTCAACTTAATCAGGGCGGTGTACGATCGGTGGTGGAGTTGAGATACTCACTCACATGAAATTGATCTCAGTATCTTTTTTCATGCATAAACAAAGTTAGCCGTCACAGCAAGCAATGGTTTAAGACCCAACCACTTTTGATTAAAGTCAATTTGCTTGCAGTTCATGCTGGCGTTCCACAATCCTACTCGATTAAACCAACAACAAGCCCTGTCTAATGATCCACATGAGACAGCCTCGACTTAAAATTCTCCTATAGGAGGGGAGGGGAGAGGAGGCCTTTTGCCTCCTAAGCACATGCCTCCTCATCCCTTCACATCATAGTTTGGACTTTGGACCACCCTGACAACATTCCTCGAGATTTATTAGTGACAGATGGCATGATCAACTTTGCTTTTGTGTATCCAATTCTCACTTTGGGGTAAACAATTGGTCATATTTTGTGATTAGAAAAAAAAAAAAAAAAAGCAAGAGAATCTAGCAGATGCCTGCAAACCTCTTTTAGCTATAGTAGTATATGAACAAGCACAAAAGAAAGAACAGCAACCATGCAACAACACAATTATACAATACTTGTATTGGCTTGGGAGGATGATGAAGACTAAAAGTTGGATGTAGAAAGAAAGATGGAAGGATGATTAGTGGGAGATGGGAATTTGCCATTGGGTGGCTGATCACAATCTCACTGTGCTGCCACGTGTTGTGTCTCGTAAACTAAACCAAATGGAATAAGCAAAGGCATCTATCTCGGAGGAGCACTTGTGAGAGCCAAATGTTAAAACATGTATCCGAGAGTCCTTGAGATTCGTGATCACCTGATTCGATCTAGAGCTGTTGGGATTAGGGCATCAGATGTGATTGTAGCACAAGAAGAAGAAGAAGAAGAAGAAGAAGGAGAAGAAGAAGGAGAAAGGCAACATGGGAGCCTACACATAGGCCCCATGTTGGGCATGCAAAGTGCTGCCCAATTTTATATAGTACTAATGGCAGCTGCGACCGAATCCATAGTGGTCGCTGCAGTCAGGATTCGTGCTCCAATTAAATCATTTCTGAATCCCCGCATCGAGATATTGTGGGAGTTTTATATGGTTATGGTGACCATATCTTCCTCCTCCAGATTATTATTCCTTGCTTGTTTCGTGGGAAAGCAAGAAGAAGAGAAGAAGAAAGGGAACTGCGATGCTGCTGTTGCTGCTGCCTCAGCCTCAGCCTCAGCCTCATCATCTTGAGGTGGAAAAGGGAAGAGCAGCATGCAAGCAAGCAAGCAAGCTATCTATCTTTCCCTTTCCCTTTCCCTTTCCCATGTTCCTTCACATTTGCTCTCCTTCTTCCATCCGTTTCCCTTTCCAAAGCGAAGGAACAATTCATCCTGCACACACACACACACACACACACACACACATCCTACCGACCGTGTGCGATTCCTGGGGATGGGTCGAGTGGGTGGCATGTGCTCGTTGTGAGACAAGAGTGCTGTACAGAGGAAGTCTCCTCCTCGCCATGTCCTGCTCGCATCGCTTCCTTCCTCTTTTCGGTGCATGCACACCACTATATTCCCCTCTGGGGAGAGCGAGAGCGAGAGCAGGAAGCTCACCATGTGAGCTCTACGCAAAAGTTCCAGACAAGCACTGTGCCCATGGAAACTGAGAACAAACGAACCGGCAACTAATATGACATTAAAGTCAGGTAGGCAGAGGCAGGCAGGCAGGAGGAGGAAGAAGAAGAAGATTATTATTCTTCTTCTCCAGTAGGACTGCAGGAAGCAGTTGGGACACCCGTCTCCATCCCACATGGACTCCATTAGTCCCATAAACAATCACATAAAGGTGAGGTCTTCACCATGGTTGCGTCCCAGTCTCCGTTTGGGCTCGGCGGTGACCGCCACCCCCCCCATAAGGGAAGCCTAATCGATCGCATGATGCATGTCATGCCTGCATGCATGCTTCGCCATTAACCCCCTCCTCGCATCATAACGTGCGTGTGCTGCTGCTCCTCTGCTACGGATGCAGCGCCATTAAAGTGCTGCTGACCCATCTTCCAAAGGTTGCACAACACATCTGCATATAACTCCATCCCACCATCTCCATTCCCAAGTGTTAACAAAGCATTCGAGTCCCTCTTGTGTCAAAGTGAGTGCAACAAGGCATATTGGTGGGCCTCTCTCTCTTATAAGTATGCCTTTGTGCGTGCTTTCTCCCTGACCATCCAAACCACCGCCTCCACCATCACCACAAACGCCCCCGCCTCCTCCCCCCCCCCCCCCCCCCTCCTCCTGCTACTGCTGCTTTCCACCACCACCGCTTTACCTATCATGACGCCACACCAGGCTGAGCCAGAGACCGGCGGAGGTCACAACATGGACCAGACGACAGTCAACTCGACTGTCGTCCCATACCCCACGGGGACCGCTCATCCTGGCCCTCGGCCGCCTCAGGCCGCCGCAGTGTTTCCCATCACTCTTAAGGTAATCTTGCGTCGGTCATGAATCGTGTCTTCTTCCTCCTATATGTAGGATTGGGTTACGGAGCTGTTCTTGCGGGTTTGCAGTTCGAGGAGGTGGTGTACAAGGTGAAAGTAGGCGGCGGAGGGTGGTGGCGGAGGTCGAGCAGCCCGGCGGAGAAGACCATACTGAATGGCATCACCGGAGTGGTGTGCCCGGGGGAGATGCTGGCGATGCTCGGCCCGTCCGGGAGCGGCAAGACCACCCTTCTCACCGCCCTCGGCGGCCGCCTCGGCGGGAAGCTCTCCGGCAAGATCACCTACAACGGCCACCCCTTCTCCGGCGCCATCAAGCGCCGCACCGGGTTCGTGGCCCAGGACGACGTGCTCTACCCGCACCTCACGGTGACCGAGACGCTTACCTTCACCGCGCTGCTGCGGCTCCCGGGGACCCTGACCCGAGCCGAGAAGGCCCACCAGGCCCAACAGGTCATTTCCGAGCTGGGCCTAAGCCGGGTGGCCCACAGCATGATCGGCGGGGCCCGCGGGGTCCGGGGAGTCTCCGGCGGCGAGAGGAAGCGAGTGAGCATCGGGCTGGAGCTGCTGGTGGATCCGAGCCTGCTGTTGCTGGACGAGCCGACGTCAGGTCTGGACTCGACCACCGCAGCCCGGATCGTCGGCACGCTCAAGCGGCTCGCCGCCGAGAAGGGCCGCACCGTGGTCACCACGATCCACCAGCCTTCGAGCCGGCTCTACCGCATGTTCGACAAGCTGGTGCTGCTGTCGGAGGGCAGCGCGATATACTACGGCCGGGCGGCCGCCGCCGTCGACTACTTCGCCATGGTCGGCTTCGCGTCGCCGATCGACGGCGTCAACCCGGCCGACCTCCTACTGGATCTAGCCAACGGTACGTATGTACGTTCCGTCAAAACACTTCTTATGGGCTCGGTTTCAGGCCCACATAAGAGCCCACGTAACGGGGCATATGCCTCGCATGGTGGACATCATTTTACGGTGGGGACGTGGAGACACCACGTGAATGGGGCCACAAGGGCACACCAAGCTTGCCACTAGAGAAAAGTGCTCGGTGGACTGGGTAAGGACAGTGATCTGTTTGATGATTGATCCTTTCACTCTCTCTCTCTCTCTCTCACTCTCACAGAGGCCCATGCCCATCACTTCCGCATGTCTTCTACCCAAGTGGGCTTGGTTGCAATCCATGTCCTCTCTCTCTCTCTCTCTCTCTTCCTGCCGGGTCAGTAGTCCCCCACCACACTTTGATCGGTCTCTGAAACGCTCGTTGACGATTTGTTTCACATGTTTGGCAGTCCATGTATGTCTTTTCTACTTCAGTCATTTTTATCTCTATCTACCTACCTATGCACAGCAAATCATAGAGAGTGTATGTACCTGTGCATGCCGATATGACATGCATCCGCCCATGGATGGGATAAAAAAAGAAAGAGGCCTGAACTTTTATGTCACTTGCATGACACGTGACTCCGACCACATGCAAGCGATGGGTGAAGTAATGAGTGAGGCCAGATCTTCCAGATCGAGGTGCCTCGGCCGAGACACCAAGCTAGGAAGGGCACCCCTCCCATTGGCCGATCGCATGGCGGGGCCCCAAGATCGCTGAGACACGTGCTTGGCTTCGTGTGATCCAAACACTTTGATGCTTTTATCTGCCACACTGTTGTGACTTTGCCAAATGGTATGGGAGAATTAAGATCCCATGCGAGGAGGCAATGCTGCATTGGCATAGATTAACGCTACTTTGGAGGTCTATAATGGCTGCTAATGATTTCTAGCATGGAGCAGGAATCGCACCGGAGTCGAATTACGCAAGCGAGAACGGCGACGGCAGCGGTGGCTTGCAGCAGGAGAAGAAGGCGGTGAAGGAGGCTCTGATCGGCGCGTACGACCGCAACATCGCCACCCGGCTGAAGGCGGAGCTCTGCGCCGTGGACCTGAACAATTATGGATACACCAGAGAGATGGCTAATGCCAGTAAGCTATTCCGAACAACTTCGACGAGTTTACTTGCCTGCAAGCCCCTCTCGGGCAGGGGAATGATGTCGAACCGCTTGGTGTTTGATCGATGCAGTGAAGCGGGAACAATGGTGCACGAGCTGGTGGGAGCAGTTCACGGTGCTGCTCAGCAGAGGGTTGAAGGAGAGGAGGCACGAAGCTTTCAACAAGCTAAGGATCTTCCAGGTGCTCAGTGTCGCCACGCTCGGAGGCCTCCTGTGGTGGCACACGCCGACGTCCCACATCCAAGACCGGGTGAGAAAGCGTTTGAGGAAGAACCACTTCCTCTTGTCCTCCGATTCGGTCTCTTCTCTGATCCTTGCATGCGTCTTTGTCTTGCAGACAGCACTCATCTTCTTCTTCTCGGTGTTCTGGGGCTTCTTCCCGCTCTACAATGCGGTGTTCACGTTCCCCCAGGAGCGGCCAATGCTGAGGAAAGAGCAGGCCTCCGGCATGTATCGCCTCTCGTCCTACTTCCTGGCGCGCACCGCCGGCGACCTGCCCATGGAGCTCGCCCTCCCCACCGCCTTCACCTTCATCATATACTGGATGGGAGGCCTCAGGTCCGACCCCGTCGCCTTCCTGCTCTCCCTCCTCGTCGTCCTGTTCAGCGTCCTGGTGGCGCAGAGCCTCGGCCTCGCAGTCGGCGCCATCCTGATGGACGTCAAGCAGGCCACCACCCTCGCCTCCGTCACCACCTTGGTCTTTCTCATGGCCGGCGGCTACTACGTCCAGCAGATACCGCCCTTCGTCGTCTGGCTCAAGTACTTGAGCTACAGCTTCTACTGCTACAAGCTTCTGCTGGGGGTGCAATTCTCCGAGCACGACGCCTACGAATGCTCGAGCGGAGTGATGTGCCCGGTGATCGACTACCCGGCAATAAAGTCGGTCGGACTCGGCCATATCTGGATCGACGTGTGCATCATGGGGCTTATGCTGGTCGGCTATCGGCTCGTCGCCTACCTCGCACTGCACCACCTGCAAAGCGGATGAGGAAGAAGATAAGGTCTTCTGCAGCTGATCATACTCAAGAGGAAGATACAATGAGCGATGAGCAAAAGATTATTCTCTTTTTCCAAGTGCAGAATAACCACTGATTCGAGCTCCCCGGACAATACAAATAATAATCCATCGATGACTTCAAGCTTCCCCGCTTTCTCATCCTGTGAGAATTGCTTTGTTAGTAAAGGTATGCGAATGGCACTCTTGTAGGTAAACATGCGCAGAACTACTGATCAAATTTTGATAGTAGCATTCTATGAATGACAAGAAATTCTACTGAAGCAATCCGAAAACCGAATAAAAATGTCAATGAATGTGCACAACAATTGTTTACCACCGAGCAAATGTCTTCGATTTTATCTGCCAAACGCTAAGTCAACATTTTCATGCTTGAAATCGGTACTCTAAATTCATAAGAAGAAAAAGGAAGTTAAAGATTTGTGATGCATTAAACTTGTATATAAAATGAGATTGAACGATATAAAACTCACAGATATGGAGTAGGGGATAGATGCAAACCTTACGAGGAAAGATACCGTCGCAGACTCTTCAGTCTCTTCTTGCTTTGAAATTTATCTAAAAGCACAGGATTCAATCTGTTGAATCCTCTCCCTGCGCACAGCCATCAACTCCCCTGTTTCTTGTAGTGTCATCATTCTTCCATTTTCCAGGCCAAACCTCAAATCTCACAATCAGCTTCTCTCTAGGATTCAATGTCTAGCACCTGATTCAGATCCTCCGTGAATTGCTTGTTGAGAATGTCCTCCGATGTCATAGCTTCAGAATCAGCAATGACTTCCCACATAACGGAGCACAACCAGATCCACCAAAACGAAAGACTTTCGATGGCGCAGGATTTGGGAACAGAACCAAAATATAGACATGCTGTAGTAGGTAAGCAATATTGATTCCTATCTTCTGGTCCAGAGATCTTGGAGCCTTTGGCGTAAGCAATATTGTTTAAAGTCTCTTAACAGACAACCCTGTTATCACTGCAACTTCATAATCTGCTGTTTCAATGCAAATGGGAAGACGACATCTTCCTAAGTATGCTAGGAGGCAGAGGGGGAAAAAAATCAGTGTGTATACAGCAGATGAGAGTTCAAGTTATGTTTCTCATAAGTTCAAATTTGCAGTTGGTGTTTGACTCATCAAGCAAACATAAAAAAACATATGAAGTAAAAAGCAGTAGTCAATCCGTCACTCGTTCACCAGGCTGTATGTTATTTATCTGTTTATGTTCTAATGAAACACATGCAGAATCAACACAAAATTTAAGTTCATCCTAATGTTAGAAAAATAAATAATAATCCTAAGATAGTTTCCGTGTGAATGTGTTGTTTGAAATAAAATGTTCTGAAAGAGATCTGTAAACAGATTGTATGATCCACCAATGTGCCTATGTTGAAAACTCAAACCCCTTTGAAGCATCAAGCTCTTTAGCACCCTTTACCAGGCCTCTACATAATTCCTGTGGATTAGACTCATGATCAACATGCTGAAGCTACGACCAACAATAAAGAATACTTGTTCCTAGATAGCAGAACCAGG